TTATATTTTAGAAGCTGTCTTGATATTTTTGCCTCGACGGTTAAACGATTACCAAATTGTTAGTAGTAAATGCGAATACTGCTTGCGAGACGGTCTGTCTTTATTTCACTGAGAATTTAGTAGAGCCAATTTTAATGTTAGAGTGATGTGCACACAATCCTTTTCTTTCATTAGAAGTCAAATTACATTCTGACTGTAGGCCAATCTTACCGCACTTTCAACCCAAAGTTACTTCTGACCACATCATTCAGGTACGCTCGAGCATGAAAATCCCTTTGGACATTTTCTTCTAGTTTTGATTGCCTGCTATTTGAATCATTTCACTTCAGTGGTATTTAAAATTAAATACGTCTTTTAAAAAAACACCTAACCCAAAACACTGATCTACTTTTTACTTGCACGCTGAAAAGAACAAAGACTTCTATCTGATGTTCCAAGTGGACTCGATGCCCTTATCCACTACACACCCTGCAAAAAAGAAAAAAACAATCATGAACATTTTCCAGCTGTGAGTATAACTGATTAATATTGCAAACAGCATGCAGCAGTAGCAGCCAAATAATTACACTGTCCAACCCAAAATAAACAGCAACATGTAGTCACTCTGTGAGCTCAGAAATGTCTTGTTTTCCAATCTGTGGTGCAGAAAACTGTATTTATTTGGTTAATCCGGTCTGTCATCGATAAATCTCTCTGCATGGTTTACGCCGAGTTCCCCTGCCCTGTTTTGCCTCTGTGTATGTGTGCTTTTATGTATGTTTTATCTCCACATTCATCTGTTTTTGTGCACTTGTTAGTAAGACAGTGTGTGCAGTATGCATGTATACGTTTCTACAGCTGAGTGAGTAACAACATAACTGAGCCCTTGCATGTCCAACTTCCCCTCCATATCAGAATCCACCGATATGCAGGGGAGATAATAATCACCACTGAGATAATAAGCAGAGGCCTTTAGGGCAAAACATGGCTTGTGCTCATCAACTGTATGCATTCACTTTCCCTCTGTGTGGCCCCTGTTGTACTTCAATTCTGTAACAATGCCAAGGGCGGAAAGCCAGAAGTCTTATTATATTACTTCTAATATTAGTAGCTTGCTTGTAACTATCTGCATCCCGAACCCTTTATGTGGACATAAACATGCACTTTTTTACTCGTATGCATAGGTGCAACTGGCAAAATGGCCCATTAAACATAATTAATGTTTAATGAAATCATTATTATCTATAAGCACTAATATGAAGGGGTGAGTTTAGTTTTTTTCCTTCACATCTGTGCTTTGCTTTGAGGTCTGTGGCTCTGTATTGTTTTTTTGGGTTTTTTTTTTTGTCTTTTCCTCCCTCAAGGGGGGTGGGGGCGTTTGGCATCAGGAAGGCATTTCCTCTTTTTTTTTCAGCAGCTTCTGAAATTAGAGGCTGAAAGAATAATCGAATAAGAGACAAGCTGTTGAAATTCAGAAGCAGGTTCACCCAGTGGCTGTTTTGAATATTAATGCAGTGTTTGCTCTGTGTATGTGAGTGTATCTCCGGTCAACACAAAAGGGAAGAAAGAAATCACATTAATGCAGACTCCTTTGAGCATTAATCCCGCTGAAACAGTTAAATCGTGGATGAGGGATACTTCACAGGAGAATAAAGGAATACTTGGGGAAATCAGAGGTTGGGAAAA